TTGTTTTGCATCAGACTGAAAGAAGAAGTTGTTTAAAGTAGTTGTTAATTTCAGGAAGACATCTGCTAGGGTGTGTGCTGATATCAACAATGATTTCTTGGTCTAGTAATTCTAAAAACCCTAACCAAACTTATATAGTTTTGTCTTAATATTGCTTTGGAATTTCAGCATTTGTTTCACAATTGCAATGAAATGTTAATTGAGACCTGCATGGGGGTAGGGAGAGGGAGTTATGTTTTGTTTTGTTTTGTTTTTTGCTTATTTAATAAGAGTAACTTTGACTGTCAAAACTTCTTTTCCTGCAGATTTTGCTCATTTTGTAAATGATCTGGCTCTCATACATTTAGCTAAGTTGCAAGGATGGATTACTTTTTTCTTCCACAACAGAATGAACAAATGAATGAAAAGCATGTATTAAGCATTTACTATTTGCCAGACTTTGAACTAAGTACTAGAGATCCAAATACAAAAAGCAAGATAGCACCTTCCCTCAAACAGTCTACATTCTAATAAAGGAAGACAATACATACCTGTATACGTGTGTGTGTGTGTGTGTGTGTGTGTGTGTGTGTGTGTATACAGGCATACTTATATATGTCTACATATGTATGTATAGCAGACAGAGAAGGATGTTTTGGTTTAGGAAGTTGTAAATATGGTATGTGAATCCATGGGTCAGTTATAGCATTGATTTGATTATGGTTCACAACTAGAAGTAAAAAGGTGGAGGTGGGGGATGGGCAGAGTTTGTAGAGAAGCCAGAGTGCAGATATGGAACATGAACCCTATATATAGGGATAACTCTCATCAATTAGGAGTTTAGGCCCCAAGATAGATACTCAAGTATTGAGTGGGAGGCAGAGGCTAGAGTGAAACATGATGGCATGAAGATGGACAGATGCATTGTGTTTTTGTATGGCAGAAATCCTCTATGAACAATTCACACTGATGCTTCATTGTGTCATAGTGGTGACCCTGATTTCTCAGAAGCTTTACTCTAAAAGCCCAGACTCTGAAGGCTTCTAGAAAGTGAGAAAGGCTTCATGTACAAGCCCAATGATGATCAGTATGCTTTCTGTTGTCCAAGAACTAATCTCACAACATTTGAAGAGCAGATTGTCCACATCAATTCTCAAAGAACATCTATTAAGTCAGAGAGGGGGTTGTACTTTGCATCAATGGAGGGGATATTCGTCCTAATGAAATCACAAATACTTGAAGAATGAAAAGAGCATATTATTCTTTGCAAAATAAAAGTTTCTCCCAAATAGGTCAATAATTTCATGTAAAAAAATACCTCATGGTTTATTTTTTTTTAATGTGGTAATTTTTAATGTGGTGAAGTCTTGTTCTTGCCTTCTGTTGAATAAGTATTATGATTATTCTTGCTTTTACTTTATTATTTAGTAAATAAATATTTAGTAAATATTAGTAAATATTTCAGAATCAAAGGTATCCTGAATGACTTTGTGGAAAGGGGGGAGTACACCACTGGGGGCTCAGGAGCTACAGTGGTAAATAATAGGAGTGTATCCTTCACCACCACCACCAGCATCAGGGGCTTTAGGATCCTAAAGTTGAATTGTTGCTGGTGGTTATGTACAATAGGCCATGACAGTAGGAAACTACACGCCTCCTCGTGACTACTAGTCCAGGCTTGCTAGCATTAGTGCAGACCAATGTGATTGAATCAGCCAGAGGTATGGGAATCAGAGGAGGTATGGGAGCTTTGTTGAGGTCTGTGTCCAAGCTACAAAATTATTACTGAGGTCATATATAACTGGAAAAGGTGAGCTGTTTCTTTAGTGAGATTGAGATATAACATGTCATTGACTTAAAAGATATAACAGATCAGACTTAAACAATCTTAAACAGTCCAAACCTTGTATTTTACAGTAGAGGAAATTGAGGTCAAGTGTAATTAAGTGTCTTGTCCTAGCTTATACAGGAAGTAGATGGCAGAGCAAGGATTTAAACCTGGTTCCCCAACTCCAGAGCCAATATTCTCCACTCTATTATGATACAACTCATGGACAATATAAGTTATATACTGATACTCCTCAGACACTAAAAAACAAAAAAGAAACTCCAGTGTGTTGATTATATCTTGTATGGAGGCTTTGTTGTTGCTGTTGTTAGAACATGTGATTTAATCCATGTGGGAAGTTCCTAATAAGGAAACTCTCTCTAGTAGGTCATGAACTCCTCTGTTAACTGATGAGCTTAGAGACATACCTAAAGCATTGAGATATTTTAAAAATATCCATAATCATACAACCAGTATATTGTTCAAAAAGGGTTTATTAAGGGCTTACTGTGTGCCAATGACTATGAGAAGCACTGGGTGTGCAAAAAAAGCAAATATGATCCCTGCCCTCAAGGAGCTCATATTTTAATGGGGGGGGAGACAATAAGCAAGCTACTATGTACAACTAAGATATAGATATAGATATATGTATATATACACACATATATGTATATACACATACATATATATCTTATTTGTACATGGCATATATATATATATATATATAGACTTACGTGTATGTGTGTGTATGTTTATAATAGATGGAAAATAATCTTAAAGGGAAGGCACTAGAATTGAGAGGGGCCAGAAAAGGCTTCTTGTAGAAGGGGGAATTTTGGCTGATGTATGAAGAAAGCCCAGGGAAACCACAAAGTAGGGGTAAGGAGGGAGAAATATTCCAGGCATGGAGGACAGTCAGTGAAAATGTATAATCAACAGATGTGCAAGGAACAGCAAGAAGGCAGGTGTCACTGGATCATAGAGTACATGGAAGGGAGTAAGGTTTAAGATGACTAGACCAGTAGGAAGGGACTAGGTTGCGAAAGGTTTTAAAAGCCAGGGATTTTTATATTTGATCCTGGAGGTAATAGGAAGCCATTGGAGTTTACCGAGTAGGAGGATGACATAGTCAGACAAGAGCTTTAGGAAAATCACTTTGGTGGCTGAGTGAAGGATGAACTAGAATAGTGAGAGAGAAGGCAGAGACACCAACCAGAAGGCTATTGCAGTAGCCCAGGCATAAGAAGATATAGGCCTGCCCCACAGTGATGGCAGTGTCAGAGGAGAGAAGGAGATAATAGGAAAGATCTTGTGAATGTACAAAGGACAGCATTTGGCAATAGAGTGTGTATGAGACAGGTGGTGGTAGGAGGAGTTGAGATAACACGATGGTAGGTAAGACCAAGTTGAGATAATACCAAGTCTAGGTGACTGGGAGGATAGTGGTCAGCCCTTTATCCACTGGGGAGGGATTTAAAAATGTATCCGTGGAGGAAGTACTCTATGGAACAGTACTCACCAATCCATCATAGTAAAGTACCCCTCAAGCAAGACTTCATGGAAGGTGAATTCTTCATTGTGTTGTATATGTAGGCATTCCTCTAGTTTCTAGCTAATTTTTTTAAAAATTTAGCTATTTTCATAAGTTCCTGGGACTCAACTCTTGCTTAATTTGTGTGGCAAGCCTAATAGGCCATCAGGATGAATAAAGAATAACCTTTCTCTGGACATGAGTCACTAAATCATAGAATTTTGAGCTAGGAAGTATTTTATAGATCATCTAGGCTAGGGGTCCTTAACCTGGGGTCCACAGAGCCCTGAAGATAGGTTTCAGGGGGTCCATGAACTTGGATGAGAAAAAAATTATTTTCTGTCATCGCTGTTCAGTTGTTTGAGTTGTATCTGACTCTTTGTGACCTCATTTGGGGTTTTCTTGGTAAAGATACCAGAGTTATTCACCATTTCCTTCTCTGGCTCATTTTATAGATGAAGAAATTGAGGCAAAGAAGGTTAAGTGAGTTGCCCAAAGTCCTGCAGGTAGTAAGTGTCTGAGGCCAGACTTGAACTCAAGAAGATGAGTCTTCCTGTCACTGAAATTTAGTATTTCCTTCAATTATGAATATAGTTAACAAACCACAGGAGTACTAACACTATCTATGATTTTGTCTTCAATTAAAAGCATAGCTGTTTTCTTATCATTACAGTTGTTGCAGATACCTCTAAATATCATTTATGTTCATCACTGCTTTGAAATTACTATATAGTAATAAGACCTAATAGATACATTACTATATCACAAATTTGTTGTTTTTATATTTTAATAAATATTTCAATATAATTGGTTGCCTTTGTAATCATATATTTTATTTTAAGGATCAAATGAGATAATATCTGTAATGTGCTTAGCATGTTGCATGGCACATATTGGTGCTATATAAATATTCACTATTATGATGATGCACTGAAAAACATTTTTAAGAGATATATCACACACACAAAAGGTTAAGAATTCCTCATCTAGTATAATAACCTTATTATCTACATCTAGAATAATCTAGCCCTGGGCATCTGTGCCCCCTTCTCTCTCTACCCCTCTCCCCAGATTAAGTGACTTGCTCAGGGTCTCATAGTCATTAGTTACTGGAGTTGTGATTCAGACCTATGACCTTTAAATCCCAAAATCCAATGTGTATTTGCTTCAGAAATTCCACACAACACTCAAATTGTTTAGTCCCACGAATTTAGTAAAACAGCCCTAAGGGTTCAGTGCTTAAACCAATCAAGCTAGTTTTTGTTAAAATAGTTCAGTTCAAAGATTGAGTCCTCACCCCAGATAGAGGCCACTGGAACCTTGCTAAGGAGCCTTAGAGGCTCCTGAAGGGCAGAGAGCTGGCTGTGAAAAGAGATTTCCTGTTTTACCAAGGTAATAAGGAGCTAGGCCTACAGTAGAATATGTCTGTGTAGAGGAGGGTGGAGCTCCTGCTGGCTAATTGTTCTGTACGGTAGGGAGGAAATGCAACTCTCACAATTAGAGGCTGGAGGATCTGTTCAACTGAGCCTTCTAAAAATGTCTTTTCTTTTCTTCAAGTTCCTGACAACTATGTGAAGGGATGTTTATTTGTTGTTATTTTATTGTGCTTCCCCACCCCCATCTTTCCATCTCAGCCTCCACTTTAGGTTTTTAACTCCTTACCTGACTTCTATGACTGAAAGGGATGTTTACATTCACACAGCCTCAAAAGGAAGTTAACAGCTTCCTGGCAGAGGGCCCCGTTGCTTGTTTCCCTGGCAACCAGAGGTAGGAAGGAAAAAAAAAAAGAACCTGTAAGGCGGAAAATGTCAAGAGAGGAAGAGAGGAGAAAGAAGGGAGCAAGCACAAGTAGAGAGAGAGAGAGGGCCACTGCTTGGCTTATTATAACATTGTTTTACAGGTAATTTACAGGTAAATTTGAGCAACTTTCCCTCAAACTACTTGAGCAAAGCACAGAGCTGAGATTCTGAATGAAAGGGGGGCAGAAAGGGGGAAAGAAAAGAAGAAAGAAAGAAAGAAAGAAAGAAAGAAAGAAAGAAAGAAAGAAAGAAAAGAAGAAGAAAGAAGGAAAGAAGGAAAGAAGGAAAGAAGGAAAAAGAAAGAAGAAAGAAAGAGAAAGAAAGAAAGAAAGAAAGAAAGAAAGAAAGAAAGAAAGAAAGAAAGAAAGAAAGAAAGAAAGAAAGAGAAAGAGGAAGGAAGAGAAGAAGAAACTAAGGAAGGAAGAGAAACAAAGAAGAAAGGAAGGAAGGAAGGAAGGAAGAAGGAAGGAAGAAGGAAGGAAGAAGAAGGAAGAGAAGAAAGAAGGAAGAAGGAAGAAAGGAAGGAAGGAAGGGAGGAAGGAAGGAAGGAAGTACAGACATAATGTGTATAAATGTGAGTGTGTGTATGTATCAGTCTATATATATCCAAACAATCCTAGCTGAAGGACCAACACCTGCTCTCTTCACCTTCAGAATTGATTCCTGCCCCTTGTATTTTACCAGCTGATCAATGTCTCTGCCGAAAAGAGAAATTGCCCTTTAAAATGGTTGGGAAAGAGGTTCAGACACAGTGTTAATATTAATCAAAAGAATTCCCTCTCAAAAGGGCTTGGAGATGAAGCGGGGGAGGGGATAAGAGGAGAGCAGAAACAAAGGAAGGAGGTTTGGTGTAAGGCTGAAAATATCACTACACCAGAAAAACAATCAGATCGCAGGACTGGATTCCAGTGAAGTGTGGACGTGTGTGTGCTCCTGAGAGAAGGGAATGTTTTCTGAGTGTGTAAGCTTATGTGAGAACGTGTGTGTGTGTGTGTGTGTGTGTGTGTGTGTGTGACAGGGCATGAGTGCTCTGTTCCTGTCTCTGTTGTTCAATAGGAAGCTAAACCTCAGCAGTTTACCTGGGGAAATTCCAGACCCCAGGCTAAGGAGGAACAGGAGGACTTCCATGTTGTTGAAGGTTTCTCTGAGCACCCGCAACGTGACAGAATGCTACATTAGTGCCTTTATCTTTTTTTTTTTTAAACATGTTAGAGGCAAGGAGAGGAGGGGAGCAGGGAGGCCTGGAAAGGAGAAGAGGAGGCAAAATTATGTTCTATAGCTGCTTGTTCCGAGCCCTGAGGTCATTATAAACATACCTGGGTCTTTAAGGCAAGTTAGGGGCATCTCCTGCTTACTGGTTTCCAGGAAAAACTAAACAAAATGTAACTCCCTAATACCACAGAAGAAACACACGCCCTTAAAAAAGAAAACCAGAAGGTCTGCTTTTATTACTTGGTTTAAAAGGGGATTTCATAAGCCAGCTCAGTTTTCACTGCACTGGCCCCTCCTCCCTCCCTCCCCAAGGGCAGGCTCACAGCTTCTCTTCCCCTGAGGACTTCCTATGCCACTACCCACTTAGACCAGACCCAGGGGCACCACTGTACCAAGAGCCTGGGTAGGGCAATTTTTACTTAATAGGTTACACAAAGCCCCAGACTGCCTGGGCAAGGTCAGTGTTCAAAGGGATCAGGTTACAAGCATGGCTCCTTCCTGACCAGAAAAGTGCCATTAGTGCAGGTAACACTTGTATTACTATGGGAAGGGTAATCAGTGGACCTGGAATCCAAAGACTAACATTCAAATCTTGGCTCTGCTGCTTAATTCTGAGTGATGTTGGGTTACTTAGCTAGTTTAATGGTGGTTCAAGGACCAGCAAAGTTCTCATCCATTCTCTCTGCTCCCCCAAGCTGTGGCTGTGATCAGGAAAGTAACTTTTATAGGACCAGTACTAAACCATAAGTTCTACTCCCTTCATTTAAAGACCATATGGACTTTCCTGTCATGCTGGAACTGACTGAAATTATAAATTTTTCATTCTGATTGACAATTAATGGCCTCTGGAAGTTATGGAACAGCAATTACATCCCATACAATAAAATGAGAAAAATAAAAAAAAATATTCATTATTTCATGAATATGGTCTCTGACAGTTGGCTAAGGAGGGAATCTCTATTCCCATTTCTGTTTTATTATTCTGCATTTGGATCCTGCCACCAGCTTCACTTTGGGGGCAAAAAAGAACCTATGCTCAATATCATATGTGTGTTATCTTGTAATTTTTGAACACTGAGAAGTTAAATGATTCACCCGTAATCACATAACATGTATCAATTCCATTCAACAAGTATTTATTAAGCACCTACTATGTGCCAACTATTGTGCTAATGACAATGCAAAAACGAAAACAAGTCTCATTCCTCCCTAACTACCCTTTGCTTATTTTATATTAATTCTGTATATATTTATACATGTATGTGCTATCTCCATCAATAGCTTATAAATCTCCTGAGAAGAAAGATTCTTTCCATTTTTTATCTTGTGCAAAGTAAGCATTTAAGAAATGCTTGTTAATTGATTGATAATGCTAGCTTTTGGTCTCATATATAAAAATGTATATGTATGTATGTATATACATATAGACACATATATAATCATATGAAAAAGGCCCTTCTGCATACAGACTTTGTAAGGTTTTTTAAATTAGTATTAGTATTTTACTAGTATTTATAATAAATCAATATTTACTATAAAATGGCATCCATTGGTATAGTCATAGTGTTTGGGGGTCTTTTTATATAATTTTAGTATCAGTCTAAGAAAAGCAGAATGAAGAAGGGGTAGAAGTTAGGAGGCTGACTCCATTGAGCTAAATGCTATATCCTGATTGAGTAGCTTTGCTACAGTTAAGCAAGCCTCCTTTTATTAATTGTTGAATGACCAATGGGTATCTCCTTTTGTTCCAACACAGGACCTAAAGTATCATTGGACTAACCTCAGTCATGCTCAATCCACTGTATTCTTCTCCCACTGAACAGTATCTTGTAAGAAAGGAAAATAGTTTAGTTAAACTGTTTCATAAAGAAACCAAATCTGTCATTATATGTGCTACCACAGAAAGTGCTGTTATGAATATTTTGGTATTTGGTAAGGTTCTGTCCCAGCCCCTCTTCTCTCTTTACATTGCCTCTCTTGGGGTTCTCATCAGCTTGCATAGACAAATTCTTATTAGATATTTGGTATATTTATGGGGTGTCTTAAAATGCATAGTTCATAGGCACGTCCAACTCAATATGTCCAAAATGGACATCATTCTCTACCCCCAAACCCATCCTTCTTTCAGATGTCTGTATTTCTGTCAAGGGCATCACTTTTCTTCTAGTCACTCAGGTTCAAAACTTCTGAATCATCCTAGACAACTCATTCTCCTTTAGCCCATGTAGACCAATTTGACCTCCACATGTTGTGCTTCACTCTCCTTCTCTGACTTCTTACTCCAGCTCCCACCCCAGGACCCTCAAACTATATTATTATGAATGAAACCAGTTGGTACTAGTGAAAAATAGAAATGTAGATTAATGAAACAGACTAGATAAGAAATAATCAGAAATAAGTGAACATCACACATTGTTCAATAAACTTGAAAACATAAATTACCTAGAAAGAACTCCATTTGAAAAAAAAAAAACTGCTGGGAAAACTGGATAGCAGGCTGGCAGAAATTAGCCAGGGACCAACGTAATGCACCATATTTCACAATAAATTTGAATGGATATGTGACCTAAATATTAGAGATAACACCATTTAAAAAAAAACTAGAAGAGAAGCAGATTGTATACCTTTCATAACTGGGTAAGGGATGTATTCATAACCAAACAAGGGTTAGAGGCCATTATAAAAAATAAAATGAGTAATTTTGATTATATGAAACTTAAAAGCTTTTGTACAAATAAAATGAATTCACCAAGGATAAGAAGGGGAGCAATCTACTATGAAAAAATTGTAGGGACTATCTCTGATAAGGATTCAATATCTAAGATACATAAACTAACAGAAATATTTAAGGCCAAAAGCAACATAGTAGGAATTAAAGAATATGTTGGAAAAGTTCTCAAATAAAGAATTGCAAACTATTAGTAACGAAATGAAAAGAATTATTCAAATCACTAATAAAAAGAAAGTAATTAAAACAACCCAACAAATTGGTAAAACTCATAAATAAGAGGAATAATCAATGCTGGCATAGTTGCAGTAACATGGGTGCACAAATACATTATTGGTGGATCTGTGAATTGGGTTAAAAAAAAACCCTACCATGGAAAGTACTTTATAATTATGCAAATAAATCAATTAAAAGGTCCATGCCTTTTGATTCAAGTATTGCACTGCTACATATATATCCCCAAGGAGATACAGAGAAGCATAAAAAAGAATACATGAATTGATACAATGTGAAATAAGCAGAGCCAAGAAAACATACAAAATGAGTGCAATAATGTAAACGGACATGACAACAACCTACAAAACAAATGCAACTGTTAGAACAGTATCAATAACCAGCTTGACCCAATGGAAGAAATCTGAAAAAATACTCCCTTTCCAACTTTTTTCCAAAGGTGAGGGAACATTGCCCATAATATAAGCTTTTTTTTTAAAAGGTGCTGAGAAGTTTTACTGATTTTTTTTTCTTATCATCCTTTTTAAAAAATGCTTTGTTATAAGGAATTGCTCTCAGGGAGGGGAAGGAGAAGGAATATGGGAGTGAGGTGGGAGGAGGTCTAAGTTATGTAAAAACAAAAGATATCAACAAAACCTATTTTAAAAAATCCTGGCATAGAGACATGATCAAATAGTAATGAGGGACTTCAATTAGCCAGACCTCTGCTGGATCTCTTTCCTTGTCCAAAACAAGAAGAAATTCCAAACAAGAAGATAATTCCAAAGGACTCATGATGAAAAAATGCTATCCACCTCCAGAGAGAGAACTGATTAATGTTGAGTGCAAATTGAAGTATAAATTTCTTGCTTTCATTATTTTCTTTTTTCTTTTTTTCTTTTGCAATATGGCTAATATGGAAATATGTGTTGCATGATTTCACATGTATAATTGATAGCATATTGTTTGCCTTCTCAGTGGGTGGAGTAGGGGTGGGAGGGAGGCAATCTGGAACAAAATTTAAAAAGAAAAGTGTTAAAAGTAAATTTTTGAAAAATAATTTTAAAAAGAAATTTAGTTGAGATAAATGTGGTCTTGCACTCATATAACAAACAAAATAATCAACTTCACAAGCATGAGTGAGAGGAAAAATGAATGGACAGCCAAGTTGTTTTTTTGGGAAAAAATCTGGTGTTTTAGTGTACTGCAAGCTTATTGTGAATCACTACTGTGATATGGCAGCCAAAAAAGCTAAGACATCTTGGACTGCACTAAGAAGGCCAGTCCTTCCAGGAAGTATACTTCTATTGTACTTTGCCCTTAATGGATTTCATTGGAAGTATTGTGTTCAGTTCTGGGTACCCTAATTTGAGAAGAATGGAAGCAATATGGAGAGTGTCCAGAAAAGGACCACCAAGATAGTGAAGGGCCTTAAGGACATAAGAGGGTCAGTTGTAAGAATTCAGAATGTTTACCCTAGGGAAGATAAGATTCAAAAGCAACATGAGAGCAGCTTTCAAGTCCCTTGTCACATGGAGGAGGGACTGCACTTTTTCCTGTGTGGCCCCTGAGGGCCAAAGGAGAAGCAATGGATGGAAACTGCCAAGACGCAAAATTTAGGCTTGATATCAGGAAAATCTTCCTGACTATTAAAGTTGTCTAAATGGACATGGGCTGCTTCAAGCAATGATGGACTCTTCCTCCTTGAACATCCTCAAACAGAGGTCAAACAGCTTTACACATCATGTATATGATACTAGAGATTCCTTTGGCATTCAGTAGAACCAGAAGGCTGCTGAAGTCCCTTCCAACTCTTAAACTGTGATTCTGTGAAGACTTGCCATACATAGTTGCTAAAGCGATTTTTCTAAAACATAGATCTAACATTTTGTATCAATAGAGACTTGGGGAGATTTGTGTATACCAAAAATCCATAGAAAGAAACATAGAGCTTAGAAGATAGTAAAGCAAACCGGCTTTATGGAGGGGAGATATGCAATGAAGCAGTCAGGGAGAATGACGAAAACAGTTCCTCTGCCTTTCTCAAATTCATGCCCACCCCACCTCAGGTAGAACTGGGCACCCGATGAGGTCTCAAAGAGAATAGGGCCCCTTCTTCCCCTAGACTAGTAACGTCTGATGGGCTTTTATAAGGTTTTTATCTGAGTCTAGCAGGACCAGGCATTGAGGGCAGGGAGCTAGGAGCCTGTACCTGGGGATTGGTGCATTTAGTGAGAGGCAGGAAGACTTTTAGGGAATCGGAGGCTAGATAATATTCAAAAAGGGGGTTCCGGCCTTTACTGCTATGCTTACTCTGACAGAGTGACTCCATTCCTTATGAGGTGCTTTGGAGCTTCCAGGGACTTCTCTTATTTCTGACACATCTCTCTACTCAATAAATTCCAATATCTCCTTATTACCTCTAGGGTCAAATACATGCTCCTCTTTTTGTTTGGGAACCAAAGCCTTTCCCAATACGGATCCAACCTACTGGTCCAAACAGATTACTCCTCTTCAAATGTTCTGTGATCCAGCCAAACTAGTCTTCCTTCTGTTGCTCATACATGACAGTCCATCTCCCACTACCTTGAATGCAATCCTTCTTTATCTCTTACAATTCCCAGTTTCCTTCAAGCACCACCTTTGCACAAGACCTTTCCTGATCCTTCTGAACCCCAAATTACCTTGTACTTATTTTGCATATGGTTTATGTGTTCACCTCATTTGTATCTGCAACCTGAAAGGGATAGAAGCAAAAGATCTCCACCTCTACCTATTGGGACAGATTTGGAACAGGATCTACCCTCTTTCCCCCCTCTCCATCACCAAAGTCTAAGAAAGTGAAAATGATTTAGCCAGAGGGGGCCTCACCATTCCTCTAGTCCACTCTGTCTCTTATGACCAGATTATTCTTCTATTGGAAAT